GGGGGAAGTCGGAAGACGGCGCGAGCGTCAGCGGGCCCGGCTGGGGGCGCCACGCAGGCCCGCTCGCGCGACTACAGCCAGGAAGCGGTTCCTGACGCCTCGGTTCGAAATGGCGACGGCGGCGTGAAATTTGGCCTCCGCTTTCGCGGGGAAGCGGCTTGCTTTCGCTAAACGGAGGAAAAGGCGCGTATGGGGACGGGCGAGGGGGGACGGGCGCAAGGGCGCGGGTAGTGGAGCAGCCCGGGAGTTGGGCGGGAAAAGGGATTTCTCTTCCAGGTTCCCAGGAAGGCGCGTCCAGTGTGGCGGGATCGTTGGGAAAAGGCGAAGGGCCGCGGCTTCTCTCCGTTCCCGTCCCTCCTCCCCTGTTGTTGACTCAGCGTCTCTCTCGAGTCATGCTCGGACATGCCGGGCCGCTCTTTTTGGAGGAGTGAAGCCCAAACATGCCCGTAAACGCGCTCCCATGCGCCGCTATTTATACTCGGCCCTTGCGAGGTTACGGGCGGGCAGTTGCGTGGCGCTTGGAGTTGCGACTCTCGTAGCTGCGGATCCCCTCAGGGTAAGGAGATCGAGGCGCTTCTTTGGGTTTTGCTCTCCTGCCGCCTAATGCACTGCCTCAGCTTACTTGGTTTTTCTTTCCTCCCTAGCAGGCAAATGTGCAATACTAAAATGGCTTCTGCGACCGACCAGCCCGCGGCTGGCACATCTGCCATTGGCCGCTCGGATCAAGAAGCGCTGGTCAGTATGCGGGGCGACGCCGAGGCGCTTTCGAAGCGATTGCATTTTCCGGGGTCGCGAGTATCCGGCGTTGAGCGCCCATGCCGATAGCGTTATGTGGAGGGGCAAGGGCGGATTGTTACTGTTAGAAGCCACTCTGTGTCGGCACACCATGCTAGGACAAGGGTTCCTTAAATGTTTTGGGGAAGAAAGATGGTTAAGCAAGTTAGGTGGTTCACACATTTTAAATTTTAAACCATGGTTTAGGAACTTCAGTGACATGATTCTGTCAACATCCACAGATCAGCAAATGACAGGCTGATTTAGCCAATGCGGGAATGCTCCCAGTAGGATCTTTTTAAAATTAGAGAACTGTGACCCACTTCATAATCCTTTGCAATCTTTTAGTCTAGAAATTCAGAAAAATCTAATATTAGCTTATATTAATTTGGTTGGGAATAAATTCCATTGGACTGGAAGAGCTCACTTCTGTGTAATTATGCCTGAGATGATTGTTTACATGGACCCAAAGCCTGAGTGGAAAAGCCACAAAATGTGGGAATTTCAGGCTTGTCAGATTTCTCAGAATAAATTTCTCAGGCACAAAGGGGGTAGTGCCTGTCACTTGAACAGTTTGAAAGGTTTGAAAGACTGGTAGGATAGAATTGCAATATTTAGGTATTACTCCGTTTGAGACCGTAAGACATTTTTGAGGCAAAGTGAAGATCACTTAGAGACCAATTTTATCCTCATTTGGAGACAGGCTCAAGGCTGAAGATGCTAACTATGAGTGGGTACCCACTTTGTAGTAGGTAATTTAGCTTGGGCTTAAGAATATTGTGCAAACCTACCTACCAGCGGGTTGGTAGAGGATTGTTTTCAATTTCCCAGTTCAGGGCTGAAGAGTGGCTGTCTGAAAGTCACACAGACAGCTTCCATGCCTAAGGGAAACCTAGAACTTATGTCTATACAGTCATTTTTTAAATAATGTGGAGTGTGTACATATGAAGCCATTCTGTTTGCAGTGATCAACTGCATTCAAAGTATTTTCAAGCAGTCGCATGTAGAATCTGTCAAGCCATTTCCATATTTAGGCATTGGAATAAGATACAGTTGGTTGTCAAGGCCTTTGAATGTTTTTCATTTCACATGTTTAATGCTGTTCTGTTACTTAGTTTGGTTATGTTACTGTGCTGTCTTATGTGCATAATTTATAAAAATACGCGAAGAACCAGTTTCAGCCTATCTCATAGTAAGAAAGCAGGATATAAGATTTTAAATAGAAACGTGCCCTAGGAAATTGTGCTTTTTTCTTTCTGCTTTTAAATACAACTGTGAGAACCATTTTGTAGTTGATCTCACAAACATTTGCTACTGTTGGGCATATTAAAAACTTTAGAGCTAGGTTAGTTTTTGAAACACTTCCCATGTTTTGAACAAGAACACAATAAAAACTGCATTTTTATTTATATTTTCAGATTAAGCCCAAGCCACTGCTTTTGAAAATTCTACAGCTTGCTGGTGCAGAAAAGGATACTTTTACCATGAAGGAGGTAAATACATTCATTGCAGTCAACGTAGGAAGTGAAAATGGATTAGGTGTTTATTTCTCATACACTGAACAATGTTCTGACTTACCGGTAGTCCCTGGGTTAAGAACGCCCAGGTTACAGACGACCCATAGTTAAGAATGGAAGCAGTTG